CATATTTTGTTGAAATGATAGAGAAAAAGTACAATCAAGTCTTTGTAACAGAGCTTGGTAGTTTGGAGGCCTTAGACTTTATGTCATTTTTGTACGTAAACTAGTTTATTACCCTTTTTCTTGTAAGCTCCATCAAATCTTTGTAACAGAGCTGCTATCACATTAATGTGGAATAAAAATGAGTTCAAGAACGTGCAGTATAGAGCGATTTGAACCTCTGATATCGTCAAGAGTACAATCTCATGACCATTTAAATTATGATCAGGTTTAAATTAATTTGTTTTGTTGATCTTATACTAGAAAGGAATTTGCACAAGTTGTATAATTTAATATAATATGGCTGAATTATTATAAAATAGGTACTTTTGATTAAAAAGTCAATTTACCAAGTGGATATTGTCTTTTTTGGACTTTCCCTTCGGGACTCCCACTCAAGGTTTTAAAATGCATGTACCCAGGGTTTTCACACCCTTATAAAAATGTTTTGCTCACCTCTCCATTCGATGTGGGATCTCTCAGAGAGAATGTCATATCTAAGAGAGTTAAGTTGTGACCCACACGATAGAGAAGAAAGCAACATGCGAGTTGGGCCCATCGGACCACTTGAGAGCCGTAAATTTTGATTGGGTGGCTATAAATTTAATTGATACTTCAATACAAATAGATAAGCAAATAAAAATAAGAATACTCTTCTAGATTTGGTCCAAGATTGAAAAACAAACCCTCTTGGTCTAAACAAGAGAGCCAGTATGGTAAAGATTACATAATAATGAATTTTTAAATTTAAAAACTTATTGAAAAGAGGAAGTTAGTTTCCTTTTGTATTTGAGTTTGGTTTATGTTTGAAAAAAGTATGGGAGATTTTCCATAAATGAGGAAAATTATATCTACTATGTGTTTTCTCTTTTTGAAAAACATCTTATTGTCCATATTTTTTTAAGAGTTATGCATTTAGGTGCATGCTCATTTCTCAAGCAGGAACAATTCTCAACGTTGGAGATTATAATGGAAGAACACCTGAACGAAGCAAATGAGAGGGACTTTAACCCAGCCAATCTTTACCACATTACGGAGACATCTTCAAAAAATTTCGATCAAAGTAGAAGAAATTAATAAATAAAGTAGGGTATAGGTTCAAATACCTTAACAAATCTTAATATTATAATTTATTAAAACTAATACACCATATCATATTTTAAAGAAAGAAAAAAAATACACACACATACACACAAAAACAACATATTAATATCCATTTATTATGATATTATAATTGAACTTTCCAATTTATGGATATATTGATTAGTTATATTTATTTTGGTAGCTAAGTGTGGCAAATATCATACAATTTGGTTTTAGAGTCGAACATACAAATACCTTGCTCTCCCACAATCCACAAACATAGAGTATTGTTGCATTTGGTTCTATCTCTGTTATCCTTGTAGATATCAAAGTAATGCGAAAAGCCAGACCACTCGAAGGTACAATAAAACTGTGTTGAGCCCCAAAAGTTTGGTCAAAAAGTGAAGGCGTAGCCACCCAAAGGTGGGATCTGGTGAATTCCCAAGTCATCATCGCTAGATTTGCAGTGAACAGTGAGCTGATTGTGACTTTTTAGAACATTTGTTATATTGACTGTCATCGGTGGGTCTTTGAAGATTGATCCGTCGATGATAGTAAATACGGTAGTGAAGAACAACGAAAATAGGAGAGAGAACACAAGTGTTGAAAATGAATTCATCTTGTAAATATGAGAATACTTGTCCTTGGTTTGTTTCACTTTTATACTTGCAAGATTAGTTTTAATTGTCAACTACTTGGATCCATTTGTTATATTAGGATGGTTGACCAAATATTTTGTGCTTACTTTATCGATTGTTTTATTTATTATTATTAGTATTTTTGTTATTTACAAAAACAACTCATAAGCGCGATCGTTAACCATCAGTTGTTAAATGTAACACATATTCTTGAGTGTAATGTTACGGTCCTTTAAATTTAAAGCTGATGAAAAAAGGTGGGTTTCAGTATTTTGTACTCTTGTCATAGAGAGTGCAATTATGTACTTGTTTGGTAATGAGTTCTTATTTATTGTTGAAAATAAAAATAGAACCATATTTGATAGAAGGTTTTTTTAATTAAAAACTGTAGGCGGCCTACCAGATATAATTTTATACTCATTCTTGCTATCTCTTTTTTTTTTTTCAGGTACGTGAGGCATTGGGTCGAGGTAGGGCGTGATCACAGGAGCGAATTATCACAGAGGAATGCATGTCTCGGGGCGTCAGTCCAGTCTTTTCTTTTGCAATTATTTTTTTCACATTTTTGTTTTTTTGAAACTTTCATTTGTTTGAATCTTTGTATTGAAACTTTCAGTTATAGGAATAAATGATTTCTCCTTTCCACCTTCTCAATTTTTTCTTTGCATACACATTGTCTTTTGAGTCATGGCTCATAGTAAAATATCGGGTTGTGACAAATTTGGTATAAGAGAACCAAGTCCTAGGTCCTGTAGACATTTAGGATAGAGAGTCGTGTCCTCTGTGACTACGCCCATCAATCACGCACCGCTCACGATTAGATGTTCTCATGGGTTTGAAATAAAGAGACAAAAGTTTAGTTAATGTTTGAGGAATGTATCATGATCCCCTATTGAGATATAATTGCGCACTACCTGTAAGGCGTGCTAAGAATGAATTATAACTGCAGTTGTTTTCTGTTGTGATAGATACAGACACCAAAAAGACGAGGATCTTATATTGGCCCCAGACTCAGAAGTGGAAGAAGAAAAGTTGCTCAGGGCGCCCCTGTTCCAACAACTGAAATGGAACAAACCGAACCTCAAGAAGAGGTTAAAGACACGGCCCGAGCTAGCAAGAGGATTATACCACGGGCCCCAAGAACCAGAGTGAGCCGAGAGGAAACGATGGCCCTAGACTTGCTGGGTACAGACCCTATAGCTCAAGACTCATCTTATTCGGACCCTGCGCTGAAGACTTATCCGACATAGAGCCTACTGCTCAAGACTTGTCCAATGCGGACCTTACAGACCCTCACACTGAGGAAGACCCACATGTGCCCATCACGAATACAAAAATAACGCGCAGCCAGCCGTCATCCCCGCTCACTATGGATATGCTACAAACCTTCATGATCACCACCATGGAGAACCAGAATGTAATGAGCCAAAACCAGAACATGATGACTCAAATGATGCAGGCGATGATGGCTAATCAGAAAACAGTGCAAGTGCAGAAACACCCAAGTACTATGACTGTGGAGTCCCGTTACCTAAAGGATTTACAGAGGCACAAACTGCCTAACTTTGACGAGGAAAAGGTGGACCCTATCGCAGCAGAGACGTAGTTGGAGGCTATTGAAATAGCCTTCTATTTAATGAAGTGTCCATGGAGTACCAAGTCCATTATGGAACGTACATGTTGAAAGGGGAAGCGCACTTCTGGTGGAAAGACGCTAAGAGGATGATTGCACTGAACGGTGAGCCAATCACCTGGTGCCAGTTCAAAGATGCATACCTCCGCAACAAATGGTTACAAGCCAGTGGAGGAGTATGATCTGGAATTCAACAGGTTTGCAAGGTTTTCTCCATTGTTTGTTAGCACTGATGAGCTGAAGGTCGAGCGATTCATTGCAGGTCTTAGAGAGGAGATAAGGGCACATGTGGCAGCCCTGGCAGCCTCAGACTATGCAGAAGCCATCAGAGTAGCGACCCTCATCGATGCACCCCGCATCGATGCGGGCAACATCATCCCAGACACCCCGCACTACAGTCCAAGGGAAGAAAACAAACGAGAACCACCCAGGACTGGTAGACAATCCCGAGGTCGTACTAATAGGCGGAGAAGAACCCCGACAGTCCAAGGGAAGAAAATAGACAAGAACCACCCCAGGACTGGTAGACAGTCCCGAGGTCGTACTAATAGGCGGAGAAGAACCCCGGTACAGAATAGAGCCCTTTGTTCCAATTGCAAGGTGTCCTCACAGGGGGGAATGTAGAGCCAATACCAATGCGTGTTTCAGTGTGGCCAAGCAGAGCACTTTGCAGCAGATTGCTCTCAAAGGAACGATCAACCCAATAATCGACCTGCAGCATAGAACTAGAGAGGCCAAGGCGCCCAACCTTAACAGGGGCGAGTTGTAGCCCATGCAACCACAATCAGGCGAGCTGACGAGCCTGACGCACTTGTTACAGGTATGCTACCCATCTTTGGTCATTTGGCCTTAGTATTATTTGATTCTGGTTCTACCAATTCTTTTGTATATGAGGAATTTGTAGAGCTAGCACACTTAGAAAAGGAACCCTTAGAGATCACCCTGTCAGTGTCTAATCCTGGTCCATGAGTTATTGATGGCGACTCATTGGGTTGGTAGTGTAATAGTGTCAGGACATGTCATAGAAGTCGCGTTGATTGTGTTAAGCATGCAAGACTTCGATGTTATCTTGGGTATGGATTGGCTAGGCGAGAATCGCGCTCTAGTAGATTATGAGACTCGAGTAGTGACCATCAGACTTCCGTCAAGGAATAACTTTATATACAAGGGAGCCACCTCCAAGAGAACCCCAAGCGTCATTACAGCATTGAAGGCTAGAAAGATGGTTCGTAGGGGCGCAAGTGCGTTCTTAGCTAGTGTGACCTTAGACAACAGAAACGAGCAGACAGTCTTGTCAGGGAATTCGTCGATGTTTTTCAGAGGATTTGCCAAGTTTGCCCCTCCTAAGGAAGTGGATTTTGGGATTGATCTAGAATCGGGAACCGCGCCGATCTCCAGGGCACCCTATAGGATGGCATCAGCAAAACTCAAATAATTGAAAAAACAACTACAAGAGCTCTTAGACAAAGGATTCATTCGACCTAGCGTATCACTCTGGGGAGCCCCTATTCTATTTGTCAAAAAGAAGGACGGATCCATGCGTCTGTTTATTGATTACAGAAAGTTGAATAAGGTCACCATAAAGAACAAGTACCCCCTCCCGAGGATTGATGACCTGTTTGATCAACTATAGGGAGCAACGGTCTTCTCTAAGATTGATTTCCAAGTGCGAGTTTTGGCTAGCTGATGTGGCGTTCCTGGGTCATGTGGTGTCAAGTAAATGGATTACAGTGAACCCAGCTAAGATTGAAGCTGTGATGAAGTGGCCAAGGTCAACCACAGTCACTGAAGTATGGAGTTTTCTGGGGCTAGCTGGATACTACAGAAGGTTCGTCCAGGATTTCTCCAAGCTGTCTTCAGCGCTAACTTAGTTAACCAAGAAGGGCAAGCCATTTGCTTGAACTCCAGCTTGTGAACAGAGTTTCCAAGAACTTAAGGAGAGGTTGGTGATAGCGTCAGTCCTCACAGTCCCAGACGGGTCAGGCAACCTCGTGGTATACGGTGACGCGTCAGAGAAAGGCTTAGGGTGTGTGCTCATGCAGAATGGTGAGGTGATAGCGTATGCCTCTAGATAATTGAAGGAATATGAACGAAACTATCCCACGCATGACCTCGAGTTAGCAGCGGTAGTGTTTTCTTTGAAAACGTGGCGACATTACCTGTATGGGAAAAAAGTTCAAGTCTTCACTGATCACAAGAGCCTCAAATACTTGTTCACGCAAAGGGAACTCAATATGAGACAGAGGTGATGGTTGAAATAAGTAAAGGATTTTGACATAGAAATCCTATACCATCCAGGAAAAGCCAATGTCATAGCTGATGCATTGAGCAGGAAGATCATTCATACTTCTGTGATGATCACTAATGAAGAGAAATTACAAGATGAGATGAAGAGAGCTGGGATAGATGTGGTGGTTAAAGGTGGTACCGCTCGGGTAGCACAGATGACCGTACAACCCACCCTAAAAAAATGAGTCATAGATGCCCAGAGGTCTAATGAACACCTCAACAAAGTGTGGAGTCAGACTGAAGCGGAGAGACCAATTGGGTATTCTATCTCCTCAGACGGGGGCCTGCAGTGGCAAGACCACATGTGTGTTCCCCGTGACAAGAGCATCTTGAAAGATATCATGACTGAAGCCCATGATACATCTTATACGTTCCACCGTGGAAGTGCGAAGATGTATCAGAATCTGAAAGGATGTTACTGGTGGCCAAGAATGAAGAAGAACGTATCAGATTTCGTAAGTCGATGTCTAACCTGCCAGTAGGTAAAGGCCCCGAGACAACATCCAGTAGGATTGATGCCCTTGAATGTTCCTCAATGGAAATGGGAAGCAGTTTGTATGGACTTCATGATAAGCGTCAACAATGCTGGATTTTGCCAAGCTAGAGGTCCTTCTAGAATCCTTGCAAACGTTCACAAAGAAAGCTAACTTAACGAATTGATTCTAACCAAGAGTTTGTTAGAAGATTCATGACTCTTAGATCGAACTTGGAATCTACTATGGTCACTCTTAGATTCCAAGATGACTCTCTCCAGAATTAGCTTGATCAAAACTAATTCAATGAATCGGTTTAAACATCAAACCTAAAGCAAGGTTTGAAAAAAAATAACACCAAAAAGGTATCAAGAAAACACAAAGGTTTTGTTTGTATTCAACAATTAATCCCCAAATATGAATATTACATGCCTTTAAATAGGCCCAAAAGATAACCCTAACATAATAAAGTTCAACCATTAACTACAAATCCTATTAAATACAAATTGAAGAAAATAAGACATTCATACAAACTACTAATAAATGCTATTAAATACAAATTGAAGAAAATAAGGCATTCATAAATTGTCTTAATTGGTAGTTCAACTATCAAAAGCAAGTCTTCTAATTACTTTCCAATGTCAGTCACTCCATTATCTTCTTGATTTGATATGCAATGCTATAAAGATTTTTGGGCTCAAAAGTCTTTGTTTCAACTTGTACACTAGCTAGCATTTGAAAAAGCAACGTATAGACCTCTTGAATCTTCTTAATCTTGCTTCTTGTAATCGGTTCTTCGGGTACATGCAAAGGGTCAACAGTTGAATTCATATCATCCTGAAAGATATCATGATTGAAGCCCATGATACATCTTATACGTTCCACCCTGGAAGTGCAAAGATGTATTAGGATCTAAAAGGATGTTACTGGTGGCCAAGAATGAAGAAGGACGTAGCAAATTTCGTAAGTCGATGTCTAACCTGCCAGCATGTAAAGGCCTCGAGACAACGTCCCATAGGATTGCTAAGCCCTTGAATGTTCCTCAATGGAAATGGGAAGCAGTTTGTATGGACTTCATCTCAGGTGTGCCCAAGACTACACAAGGATACAACGTAATCTAGGTAGTTGTGGGCTCAGTTATATATCAGGGAGATAATACGCCTGCACGAGGTGCCAGTGTCCATAGTCTCAGATCGGGACACCAAGTTCACCTCTCAGTTTTGGAAAAGTCTCCGGAAAGCACTAGGAACCCAATTGAGATTCAGTATAGTGTTCCACCCTCAAACAGATGGACAAACCGAAAGACTGAATCAGATCCTAGAAGATATGTTGCAAGTCTGTGTCATAGATTTCTCTAGGTGCTAGGACGAGCACCTGTCTTTGATGGCGTTGTATAGGCGTAGGTGTCGAACACCAGTGTTCTGGAAGGAGATAGGCATGCAGCAACTACTAGGACCAGAGTTAGTTCAGGTCACCAATGCAGCAGTCCAGAACTCAAACAAAGAATATTCACCGCACAGACCCATCAGAAGAGCTATGCAGATTTGCATAGAAGGGACCTCGAATTTGAGGTGGGTGACCATGTCTTCCTGAAGGTATGAGATGAGTGTTGAGGTTTGGGAAGAGGGAAAAATTGAGCCTAAGGTTCATAGGCCCCTTCGAAATTCTAGAGCGAGTGGGGTTGTGGCCTATAGGATGGCCCTACCGCTGAACCTTGCCATCGTACACAATGTGTTCCACATGTCCATGTTGCGAAAGCACACTTCAGACCCTACCCATGTGATCGAGCACAGCACGCTTCCCCTTCAGGAAGATCTGTCTTACGAGGAAAAGCCTAGCAGAATTTTGGCTCGAGACACCAGGTGATTGCTTAAAAAATTCATCCCCTTGCTAAAGGTCTCATGGGGTTACCGCCGTGAAGAGGAGGCAACCTGTGAATGAGAAGAAGACGTGAAGAAGGCTCATCCTGAACTCTTCCAAGGGATTCCAACTTTCGGGGACGAAAGTCCCTAAGGTGGGGAGAGTTTGTAACACATAAATAAATAAATAAAAATCGGCCCAGGCCCACCGAGGGGCAAAATATTTTGCCCCTCCATCTACAATAGGGGTCCAAGTGGAACCCTAATAGAGGCCACCAAAAAGAAAGGGAAGACTAGAAGAGGGTTTGGGAGAATCGATGAGCCGCCGCCGAGACTTCGTCGAGAACCGAGGTGAGTTCTTGAATGTTTTCCAGATTCGAGAAAAATCTTTACAAATGAAGACCTAATGTTTGAATACGTTCATCTAGGGAAGCTGACTTCGTGAAGAAACTTGGCAGAAATCCGGGAATCGTTAGAGACGGTAAGCAAAACTCTGTGGCTCAAATCTCATTTTATGTTGAGGCTAAAATCACGAAAAAAAATATCAAGATGTAGCCCTCAACATGATCTAGAACTTTGCCGAAGGAACCATATCAATCTGAGCTCAAGATCAAAAGATATGAAAATTGGAAAACTGCAGATCGAAAAAGGACTATGGATTGCAGGAGAGAGAGAAGAAAAAAAAAAGGAGAGGCGGCGCAGCGAAGCGCGACTCGGTAGGCGGTGACACGTGTCGAGCATCGGCTGGAGCGACGCAGCTCCAGCAGAACGACGATGCGTGTCACCAGTAGAAACCAGACTGAACTGCAGCGAATCGGATCGCTGGCCGAACCGACCCAACCCACGACTACGTGAAGCAGTCCGCGAGTAGCCGTCACGCGTGCAGCCTGTGACTGGCGCCCTTTCCCGCACGTGGCTAGCATGTGGTCGGCGCGTGAGGGCACGTGGGAGTCTCGTTTTTTGTCCGTTTACCTTCTGTTTGTCTCGATTTCTATTTTAATAATATTTTTATGTGAATAGGGACCAAATCAAAGATAATCAGTGTTTTTGGACACCTTACGAGCACAGAGACGCTAGCGAAAGGGCACGTGTCAATTAGGTAGGTCACCATACAGAACTTAGGAAGAACGAATCGTCTTGGTATGCATGCATGCTAGATTAGTTTCCTTAGTTGATTAGACTTTCCTATGTTATTCGTTTAAGTTGCAAAGTACATGATCTATGACAATTTAAACATGTTTTATGCTTCCACTTTGTGTGTAATTGTTTATGCATGCTGAGAGAAGGATGGAGAATTGTGAACTCTACGTTCCGAGTGTTGATGGATGTTATCACCCCGTTGAACATAATTTCCTGTCTTTGCATAAATTGTATAATGTATGTGATTCTTGATGCTTGCTTCCTTTTGGAAATGTTTAAGAGACGATGTAATGTTTAGGAAACGTTTTAGGAATAAGCCTAGGGATCCAAGATTAGAGTGGCTAGCCACTGAGCCTAGATTGATCCCTCCCCTAGGAGTTTAGCAAATCACCACGGTAAACGTAGTGCCTTAGGGATGTTCATAGGCTGCTAGCTGCCTGAACGGTGTCTATAGTTTCGTGGGTGGACCAGAGGTCCTGATCAGCTTACTGCTCCTAGCCGTTTCGCATGAGAAATGTGTCCCCACGTAGTATAGCCTATTAGCTGCATGGGAATGGGTTGGATCGCGCCGCCCAGGGGGACTATTATGAGCTTAGGAGGTATTCAACACACTTCTATGCAAGATATCATGTGGTCTCAATTAGCCATGTAGAGGTAGCGTCTCGTAGAGAGACACCGGTCAGTCCAACTTAGCATAAGGAACCCCTAGGTACCAAACGAGAGGACGGAGAATAATAGAAGTCCCAAGGGAAAACCCTTAAGGGTCTAAGATTAGAACTAGACGTCCTAGAGCCAACGAGAAATCCGTGTTGACTGTTAAGCTTAGGATGCGATGAGAGCCTACAAGTAGGAGGCCTAACGGTATTATTTTATACTCATTCTTGCTATCTCTTTTTTTTCTTCAAGTACGTGAGGCGTTGGGTCGAAGTAGGGCGTGATCAGAGGGGTGAATTATCACAGAGGAATGCATGTCCCGAGGCGTCAGACCAGTCTTTTCTTTTGTATTTAGATTTTTCACATTTTTGTTCTTTTGGAACTTTCATTTGTTTGAATCTTTGTATTGAAACTTTCGGTTATAGGAATAAATGATTTCGCCTTTACACCTTCTCAACTTTTTCTTTGCATACACATTGTCTTTTGAGTCACAACTCATAGTAAAATATCGGGTCGTGACAATAGGTTTGGACCTCAAACATTATTGGTTGTTGTTCTATACACTTTTGAATTAAAAATGTAAAAGTATGTTATGTATATACCATTTCAAACCCAGGTCAGCAAAAAAAAAAAAAAAAAAAAATTACTATGACATTTCATTCTCTTAATCCTTACTATCTTACTCGTCGCTTCTCTCGGTTCCATATATCATTCTCTTGTTTTATAATAATTTTTTGTAATATAGTCTTTTTTACTCGAATAAATATATGATTGAAATGTTGGGTTATATGCAGGAATGAGTGAACTTGTTTGTCTGATGAACTGTGACAATGTTCAAGTTTGTGATGAGTTCTGTAGAAGAGCCGAGTAAAACGGAGGAATGTCTTCTTCTCCACTCACGCTTTGTTGCTGCAACAAGCCATGAAATAATTACACGATTTTCTTATCTTTTCCCTTTTGTCACGTATGCTTCATCAAGCCTAGCTGCTATCTCCTTCATATGAAATAAAAATGAGTTCGAGAACGTGTAGTATAGAGCAATTTGAACCACTAATATCGCCGATAGTGCAATTTCATGACCATTTAAATTATGATCATATTGAAATTAATTGGTTTTTTGATAGTGTACTAGAAAGGTATTTACATAAGTAGTATAACTTAATATAATATAACTCAATTGATATAAAGTAGATATTATCTTCTTTAGGTTTTAAAACGGGAAGTTTAGTTCTCCGATCATTCATTTTTTATTAAAAGGTAAAGAAGATAATATCTACTGAAAAATAGAAGTTTAGTTCAATAGGACTAAAACTAGTTCAACTAAGTCGGCTAGGTCCAATCCAATGATACATAGAGTGTATGAACATATATGATCACGTACATATATGGTTACTAGTGATAAGCATGTATATGTTTATTATTGCACCATATCACTAAATGATGAATTGTATAGTGGGACCCATGTACGTTATATGCTC